GTGTGCGTGTGTGTGTGTGTGCGTGTGCGTGTGCGCGTGTGCGTGTGCGTGTGCGCCTGTGCGTGTGCGCGTGCGTGTGCGTGTGCGTGTGCGTGTGCGTGTGCGCGTGTGCGCGTGTGCGCGTGTGCGTGTGCGTTCGCGCGTTCGCGCGTGCGCGCGTGCGCGCGTGCGCGCGTGCGCGTGTGCGCGTGTGCGCGTGTGCGCGTGTGCGCGTGTGCGCGTGTGCGTGTGTGCGTGTGTGCGTGTGTGCGTGTGTGGTGTGTAAGTATGTAAGTATGTAAGTATGTAAGTATGTAAGTATGTAAGTATGTAAGTGTGTGTGTGTGTGCGTGTGTGTGTGTGTGTGCGTGTGTGTGTGTGTGTGTGCGTGTGCGTGTGTGTGTGTGCGTGTGCGTGTGCGTGTGCGTGTGCGTGTAGGTGTGCGCGCGTGTGCGAGTGCGTGTGGGGTGGGGGGTCCTAGGCTCCCAAGGGGTGGCCCCCCCCGTCGACAGGGAGAAGTCAAGCCCTCCCAATCCCTCCCTCGGCTTTCCCCGTGGACAAGGGAGACGGGAGTGGTCCCCCCCGTGGACAGTCCACTGAAGCACCCCCGCATCCCCACCCCCCAGTCCCCCTGTGGACAGGGGGACAAGGGGGGGCGGTCCCCCCCGTGGGCAGGGAGGGGGAATTCAGGGCGTCCGCCCCCCCCTCCTCCTCCCCCCGCTGACACGGGGGAAAGGAGGGAAAGCTCCCCCCCTGTTCCCCTTGTGGACGGCAGGCTTGCCTGTTGACCACGCATAGGGCCGTATCGATCTTAATCCTACCTGTTTAGTCGCTGTCAACTTGTGGGCTGTATTTGAGATATGGTGAAGGTCTCGGTTTCCTTTTCTGCAGCTACTGGGTCATCAGGTCCGCCTTCTCTTTCAACCTGTTCCTCGTCTTCCTTGAGGAGTTCAGGGGGCGGCATTGTATTGTGACGCTTCGCGTCTGTTCCGATTCCGATTCCGATTCCCCCCCTCCCCCCGCCTGGACCCCTCCCGGGGGGCGACATCATCACTCCCATTTGCTGTGCTGCGTGTTATCGGACATGCCCCCAAGAGGCCTCAGATCCGCTCAAGAGCGGTTCCAAGTGACCACGGAGCTTCCCCCCAAGAGGCTGAGGCTCCCAAAAGGGCCCACGAAGGGCTCCAGAGCGTGAGCGTCGTCGTCCACGTTGCCGCCGCCGCCTCCACCGCCGCCGTCGTCGTCGTCATCTTCGTCGTCGTCGTCGTTGTCGTCGTCGTCGTCGTCGTCGTCGTCGTCGTCCCCCTTCAGGGTCGACGGGACCGGCCGCAAGGCCTTGGCAATGCCTTCTGACCCCAAGGCATTGAGCGCCCTGGCGATTGTATGGCAGCACGTGGCTGCGACCAAAAGCTGCTCCGAACGCATCCTGGACCGCCTCAGCCCGCCGACGAGTGGACGTGGCTCTCGTACAGGCCCACCAGGTGATCCTTCCCGGCGCGCCTGGCGAGCTCCAGACTCGAAGGCCGCACCCTGCCCGCGAGGTCGCGGTGGCGCTCCTCTGGATCCGCGCCCGCCTGCAGCAGCACCGCGGCCACGCTCCGCTCGCGCTGGGCGGGGGACGCCCCGCGCACCCGCTCCAGCCACCCGGCGGCGCCCGGCACGCCCGGCGGGCCCAGGGGGGGCACGCTGCTCGCCCTGCCCCCCGCCCCGGCGCTGATCGGCTCGGGCGAAAGGGGGGGGATAGCAAAGGGGGGGCCTGAGAATCAGCTCACGTAGCGGATTTTCCCGGCGCCTCCCCGGCGCCGGAGGCGACCATGTGTCGAGGAATGGGCCCCTCGGTGGGGCCGAAACCAGCTGCTTGCCGCAAATTTCGTGACCCCCCCTGTCCCAATCCCCCCCTTTCGTCCGGCCCGAGCTGAGGAGCTGCAGCGGGCACCGCCCGCTGGCGTCGCGCACGTCCACCGCCGCGCCGCTCTCGAGCAGCAGGCCGACGACGTCCGCGCCGCAGCCGAGGCGCACCGCGGCGCAGAGCGGCCACTCGAAGCGCGGCTCCCAGAACGGCGACGCGGCCGAGGCGGGATCCGCCTCGAGGGTGAGGCGCACCTTCGTCAGCGAGCGAAGAACGGTATAACATGAACTTTTTCGCTGTCGGGGGCGCCTGTCCCTGGGCGGCTGGTAAGTTTATACCCCTACGGTGCCACCGTAAGGGTATAAACTTTCCAGCCGCCCTGGGACAGGCGCCCCCGACAGCGAAAAAGTTTATGTTATACCGTTCTTCGCCCGTGAACTTCGGTGGCAACCCATGGGAGCCTCCGACTGTGCTGCTCCCATCGTGCCTGAGGACCCCGTCCCAGAAGTGAGGAGTTGCCGAGCACCCAGGGAGGCATCGAAGCAGCGTCTGCCCGACACACTGGCGAAGCGCCGAACGAGTATTGCCGTCCAGGGCCCGCCACGTGAAACCCCTCAGATTCGATACTTTCGTGGTGCTCGAAATTCATTTGCATCAGACGCCTCCGATGTCATCCTGCTGGCTCCTGCGAGTCAACGCTAACCCACGCTAATCGACGCTGATCGACGCTATTCGAAGCGCTACATCGGCGCAGTCTCGTCGACTCTCAGACGCTGGAGCACGCCAGCGCACTGCAAGGGCGGGATTTCGAGGAGACGTCAAGGCTCCCATGGGTTGTTGCCAAACGCACCTGCTTCAGGCAGTTCTGCTCCAGGGCCACCAGCAAAGGCTCCGCGACCTCACGCGCGAGAGGTGGCGGTGGCGGCGTGGTCGGTGCGCGAGCCTGCGGCGCTCTGGGGGAGTACATCGCTGTATAGGAGCCAAGCTCGGCTAGGGCAGATTCGCCCTGCGGCGCGGGGGGATGAACTCGCTCGGCGCCCGACGATGTCCTGAAACGGACAGAGCCAAAATCGCTGTGGGCCCGAAGTACAATGCCGTCGGGAAAGCAGAGATCGTGGCGTTCGAGTATCAAGATGAAGCCAGGATTAGGTCGGGCATGTCCTCCTACAGGCGGACTTTGGGGGGAACAATTTAATGGACTCCAAAAATACACGAAAACGATCAAACATAGTAATACAAAATAGTCCCCAGACAATCTTTCAACTGCTTCTGAATCCTCCTCCGGTAGAGGGACAGGCCCGACTCAAAGCCAGGGCCTCCAGCGGACTGCTCTCCAGTCCCCTAGGGCCCCTGCAGCTGGCCGCCCCCCTCCTCGGGGGCCGGTTCTCCGCCACGGAGCAAGGCCGAGGTATCCGAACTTCGGGGGCCCGACAACGCACCCTAGATGGCTGCTTGGAGGAGCGGCCACACCGGGGTTGGCGCACTCGCGGCGTGGGAGCTCTGGAAAAATAAGAGAGATAGAGAGAGGGCGACAGAGAGAGAGAGAGAGACATCTGAAGAACGGCAAATTGAGAGAGACCGGAAGAGAGAGAGAGAGAGAGAGAGAGAGAGAAACAAAAAAAAAGAAAAAGGAAACAGACAAAGAGAAAGAGAGAGAGAGAGAGAGAGACACACAGAGAAAAGAGAGAGAGGGAGAGAGAGAGCGAGAGAAAGAGAGAGAGATGGGGATGCTGTACCGCGGGGGACCGCTGGTGGCTCAGCACCTCCGGTCTGCACTGCACACCTGCAAGTGGACAGGCCCCGTGCGAGGCGCAGCAGAGGAGCTCTGGCCACCAAAACACCGTTCGACCTCACGCCCTTCGCTTGGACACACCTGGCCCCGGCGGCGCTGCTTGGGAGTCCCAAAACTGTGTGGTAACAGACCCGGCGGTGCCTCGAAATCCGCAGAGACCTCACCGCCGGGTCCGCCACCACACAGCCTTGGGATCTCGGAGGCCCCAGTCGCCCGAGACGTCCTCGGAGAACGAACGACCCGAGTCCCAAGACCGTGCCGTGACCCCGATATCCCCACCGGCTCACCACACGGTGTGGTCACCGCCCCGTGTGAGGGCCCCGGCGGCGCTGCGCCGGGGCCTGCTCCGCGCGGGCCTGGGCCCGCAGGGGGGGGGGGGGCGCAAGGAGCTCGCGAAACTCGCGGGCCCCAAAAAATTGACCCAGAAGCCTACTCCCCGAAAACAGACGAGGAAGGGTTGCGACTGGGCTCTCGGAAACTGCGGGCAACCAACAGAATGGTCCGCAAATCGACTCACCCCAAACAGACCAGGGGAGTTTTCGATCGTGCTCGCAAAAACTGCAGGCCAAACAAACCTGGCCCGCAAATTTCCTCACCAAAGACAGCTGCGACTGGGCTCGCAGATACTGCAGGCCAACGCAAAGTGGATCGCAAAGCCCTACGGCTCGCACGAACTGCCCGCCAACAATAAAATTGCCTACAAATCTGTTCTCAGATTCGGTTGTCGGAAATGCGGGCCCCCATGAAATTGTCCGCAAATCCTCCCACCCCAAAACAGACCAAGAAAGGTTGCGATTAGGCTCGCAAGCACTGCGGGCCGAAAAGGAAAATGGCACGCAAATCTCCTCACCAGAAACAGCTGCGATTGGTCTCGCACATACTGCAGGCTAACGGAAAGTGGATCGCAAATCAATTAGTTTCGCAAAATTACGGACCAACAAAAAGTGACCAGCAGATCTGTTCTGGGATTGGGTTCGCGGAAGTTGCAGGCCGATCGGCCCCCAAGAGGCCCCCCCAAGGCCCCAAGAAGCGCACAAGAGGCCCAAAACAAGCCCCAAGATGCCCCCAAACGGCCCCCAGGGGCCTCAAAACTGTCTCCAAGAGACCCCCGAGAGGCTTCCCCCTGAGAGGCTTCCCACAGGCACGGTGGCGGGATGGGCCAGAGACAATTCGATGCCGATGTAGAAACACACATAAGCACACATGCACCGAGAGGCTCGAATACCCACGGAAACACAGACAAACCAGCACCACCCGCACTGAGCACACAGACGCAACATAACAACAAGCTCCCTCCTACTCCCCACTCCTCCTGCTCGTCCTAAGCTGTTCCTACGTCTCCCTGCTCTTCCCAGCTCATCATACCGCCTGGCATTATTCCCAGAGCCCAGACTGCTCAAATTCAAAGACCGCTCGGGTTTTGACCTCTTGATTCCCGAGGTGCCCCTCCAGTCCCTCGCCCCCCCCTTCTCGCCCGCGTCAGCCTCTGCAACTCCCCTCCCCCGCGCCCACAAACTGAGCAGCAGAGGAACGGAAGACAAGGCACTATCCATCTGACACTCTTGGCTTCGTAGTGTGGTTGGTTGCTCCCACCTTCACAAATCTGCAGATGCAGGGGTCACATCTCACCCCAGGCCAGTGCAATGCGCGGGCAATTTGTGAACTGGCCCGCACATGCACGGGCCACTTTTTTGGGGGGGGGGGGGGGGGGGGGGGGGGGGGCGCACCTCTCCCGCGGGCTCAGTCCCTGCCCGCGCCGCTCCGTCTTGGCCTGCGGCGCTGCCCGCGGGCCCCCTCCCGGAGAGTGGGCTGACGGGCGAGCCCAACACCTCCTGGCCCGCACCCTCCGCGGGCCCCGCCCCTGCAGCGCGAAGCGCGCGCCCCAGGGCGCGCCCGGCCCGCTCTCCGTGGCGCTCGGCGCGGGGAGATGTGAGGGCCAAACTCTTGTTGGCCAAACTCTTGTTGGTCCTTGATTCCGCGCTTCCAAATTGGGCGGAAAGGGGGGGGGGAAGGGGCGGGGTCTGGGCCCGCCCTCCCTGGTGAACGTGTCCTTGACTCCGCGCTTCCACATTGGGCGGAAAGGGGGGGGGGGAGGGGCGGGGTCTGGCTCCGGACCTCTGCTTCACTCGACTGCCTGCAGCGGTGCGTCCCGTCGGGGAGGCTCCACCTGCTCGAAGCAGGCGCCCAACGACAGCCAAGCTCTGCTCCAGGGGGGGGGAGGGGCGGCGTGCGAGGGCCCGCGCCGATCGGCAAAACAGTGGCCAAGAAAACGGCGACATGCCCCGGCCCACCTGTTTTGCCCCGCGCTCGTCGAGTGCGCCATGCCTCCCTTCTCGTGGCTTGCCTGGAGAAAGGGCGGCCCTGAGCGGGCCAGTGCTTTTGTTTGGCCCGCACCGTGGGCCGAGCCCCCCTCCCAGACATCCAACGTCCCGATGCTGTTCGAGACACGGGCCCCCGGCGGCCCCCGACCTCCCTCCTCCCTCCTCCCTGCTCCCTCCTCCCTCCTCCCTCCTCCCTCCTCCTCCTGCTCCCTCCTCCTCCTCCTCCTCCTCCTCCTCCTGCTCCCTCCTCCTGCTCCCTCCTCCTGCTCCTCCTCCTCCTCCTCGACCCCCCGACCGCTTCCCCTGGACCGGGTTTTCATCCCGAGTGGTTCCCTGACGGCCCCGAGGCCCGGCGAGGGCCCCGAGAGGCCGAGCACGACGAGGAGCCTCCGCCTCGATGTTTGCCGAGGCGCCCGACGTCCGGGCCTGCCGCGCCCTCCAGGGTGTGCAGACGTGCGAGCCACTCTCTTCTTGGGGCCCTGGGACACACACACACACAGAAATACACGCAAATCACAGGATTCCCCATATCTTCCCATACTTTCGGTTTTTTTTGTTGTCTCCCCCTCCCACCTCCCCATATTTTCCCACATTTTCTGTGGAGTCGACGATGAACTGTGCCTGTGTGCTTCTTTTCCTCTTGACACATTCTTCCCGGGGCCCGGGCTCTCTCTCTGCGGGCCCGGTGTCTCTGCCCGCGCGCGCCGCGCGGCCAGCCCCTCTCTGTCTCTGTCTGCGTGTGTTGCCTGGAGTGGGCAGCCCTGCGGCCCAACTTCTGCGCGGCTCGCACTCTCTGATGGGCCAGTTTTCCACCACCACCACCATAAGTCGGAGGGGGGAAGGAGGAGGAGGAGGAGGAGGAGGAGGAGGACGCGGAGGAGGAGGAGGAGGACGAGGAGGAGGACGAGGAGGAGGACGAGGAGGAGGACGAGGAGGAGGAGGACGAGGAGGACCTCCTCCCCCCTCCAACCTATAGTGGTGGCAGTGGAAAACGGGCCCATCACGCTCCGCGTGCCCAGCTCCCTTCTTTTTGTCTGCGAGCTGGGGCGCACGTGAAGGTTGTGCACATCTGGCACCTGCTCCGTAAGCCATTCCCAATCTGGCTCAGCCGAGAGCACTCTGTGCTACATGGTTCAGATCTGGGTTGGTCTACCTCAGTGCGGCTCCCCACCCTTCACGGACGAACCATCTTTCGGCCCCCGCGCGAACCTCGGCTAACCCACCCAACGCACGGAGTTTGCGAAGGCAGACCGCGGGGAGATACAAGATGCGCACTCGCTCAACACACGTTTGGGGAATTTGCTGGGCATGTAAGCCCACGCACGGCATCCTTTACAAAGCTGGGCCTCGTCTGAGTGGCAGGCCAACGATTCGTTCGTCATTCAAGGGGGTGGCTTACCACAGTAGAAGGGCCTCGGGACGGGATGGTGTATTGCAACATCGTTTACGCATCGTGGCTTCGTTTTCGGTCCCCTCCTCATCTTGATCCTCCTCCTTCGTTTCCTCGCCCATCCTCCCTCGCGCATAATCGTCCGGGTGCCGGAAGCACGGGGCAAGATTTTCCCACGAGTTCTAGATTGGCACGGCCTTCGGGCCGATCGGGAGTAGCGTAGCGTAGCCTCCCTCGCGCATGGAGAAAGCGAATATTGGCCGAAGAAGGGCAACGCACACACACACACACACACACACACACACACACACACACACACACACGCACACACACACACGCACACGCACACGCACACGCACACGCACACGCACACGCACACGCACACGCACACGCACACGCACACGCACACGCACACGCACACGCACACGCACACGCACACGCACACGCACACGCACACGCACACG